GAAAGACAAAGAGGGTCATTATATAATGGTGAAGGGTGATAATGTTATCTCTTCAACAAGAAGAGATAACAATTTAAATATATATGCACCCAACTTAGGTGCACCCATTTTCATAAAGCAAACCTTACTGGATCTAAGCACATCGATTAATAGCAACTCCATAATCACCGGAGATTTCAACACCCCACTGACGGCACAAGACAGATCTCCAAACAGAAATTAATAAAGAAATAATGGACTTAAACAAAACCCTGGAACAATTGGGTCTGACTGACATCTACAGGACATTCTACCCAAAATCCACTGAATATACGTTCTTCTCATCAGCTCATGGGACATTCTCTAAGATTGACCATATCCTAGGACACAAAGTAAATCTCAAGAAATTAAAAAAAAAATCATACCATGTACCTTCTCAGATCACAGTGGAATAAAACTAGAAATCAACCCTAACAGAAACACCACATTTCTACACAAAACTTAGAATTAAACAACCTCCTACTAAATGATTACTTCATAAATGAAGAAATCAAGATGGAAATAAAAAATTCTATGAAGAAAACGACAATGGAGAGACAAGTTATCAACTCCTCTGGGACACAGCTAACGCAGTTCTGAGAGGAAAGTTTATCTCCATAAATGCCTATAACCAAAAGACAAAAAGATCACAAATAGACAATCTAACAAAACGACCAAAGAGCTGGAATAAGAACAGACCAAACCCAAACCAGCAGAAGAAGTGAAATCAACCAAGAGCACCACATATACTCACCAGCAAATTGGTATTAACTGAACAGCACCTAAGTGGTCACATAGGTACTACAGTAATAGGGTATTGGGCAGGTGGGAGGGGGGAGGGGGCGTGTATATACATACATAATGAGTGAGATTGCACCATCTGGGGGATGGTCATGCTGGAAACTCAGACTTGTGGGGGAAGGGGGGGAAATAGGCATTTATTGAAACTTTAAAATCTGTACCCCCATAATATGCTGAAATAAAAAATATATATATTAATAATTCAATTTCCGTAAGCATTATAGGACTATTCAAATTATCTATTGTATATTTGGTAAGTTGTGATAGTTTGTCTTTTTTGAGGAATTGCTCCATTTCATCTAAGTTGTCAAATTTATGTGTGTACAGAGTTGTTCATAGTATTCCCATATTATTATTCTGATGTCTTCAGGGTCTTTAGTGATATCTCCTGTTTCATTTCTAGTATTGGTAACTTTTGTCTTCTCTTTCTTTCCCTGTCAGTCTTGCTAGAGATCAACTTTACTGGTCTTTCAAAGAATTTTTTCCATTGATTTTCTTTATTATTTTTTTGTTTTCAATTTCATTGATTTCTTCTTTCTATTATTCCTTCCTTCTGCTTGCTTTGGTTTTATTTTACTCTTCTTTTTCTTAGTTCTTGAGGAAGAAGCTTAAATTATTGATTTGGGACTTTCTCTTTTTTATTATAAACATTTAATGCTATAAATTCTGCTTTAGCTGTGTCACATGCATTTTTATGTGTTGTATTTTAATTTTCATTCAGTTCAATATATTTTTTAAATCACTTGAAACTTCTTCTTTAACCCCTAGATTATTTATAACTATATTCTTTAGATTCCAAGTGTTTGGCGGTCTATCCATTATCTTCCTGTTGTTTTTTAGTTTACATCTGCTATGGATTTGCTGTATCCTGGAATATGTTTCATGGGAACTGAAAAGAATATATATTCTGCTTTTGTTGGGTATAGTGTTCTATAAATGTCAACTAGATCCTGTTGGTATATGGGATTGCTGAATTATTCCATATCCTTGCTGATTTTCTGTCTAAGTGTTCTAGCAATTATTGAGAGAGGAATGTTGAAGTTTCCAATTATATTTGTGGGATTGTCCATTTCTCCTTTCAGTTCCATTAGTTTTTGCTTCACCTATTTTGCAGTTCTGTTGTTTGGTGCATACACTTTTTAAGATTGCTATGTCTTCTTGGTGTATTGACACTTGTATCATAATATAATTTCTCTCTCTGTATCTGTTAACTTTCTTTGTTTGGAATTCTACTTTATCTGATATTAATACAGCCACTCCCACTTTTCTTTGATGAACATTTGCATTATATATATATATATATATTATCTTTTTACTTTCAACCTGCCTAAATCATTATATTTTAAGTCTGTTTTTTATAGGCTAAATGTAGTTGAGTCATATTTTTTATTCAACTCTGTCACTCTCTGTCATTTAATTGCTGTATTCAGACCATTTACATTTAAGTTAGGCCTTGAGTCTGCTATTTTATTGTCTGTTTTCTGTTTGTCCTATCTGTTTGTTTCTCTGCTTTCTTTTTATTGCCTTCCTGTAGGTTATTTGAACATATATTAGAATTCTACTTTTATTTATCTGTAGTGTTTTTGAGTATATTCCTTTGTATAGCTTTTTAATTTTTGCTCTAAACAACTAAATATAATTTATAACTTTTCAATAAACATAACTTATCAGTCTAGTGATATCATCATTTTACCAGTTCAAGTGGTAAGTAGAAACCTTACTTTTTGTCTCTTACCCTTCCCATTTTTAATATAATTTTCTTAAATATTTCCTCTATATACATTTATGACCACATCAGTATGATAATTTTTTCTTCAATTCACAAACATAATTTAGAAAATTCAAAAGGAGAAGGAATTGTACTGACTCATATTTTTGCTTGAAATGTTCTTTGTTCTTGTAGATATTCTGAGACTTCTTCTTTTTATCATTTTCTTTCTGTTTAGAGAACTTTTCCTAGCCCTTCATTTAGAGTAAGTCTGCTGGCAACAAATTCTCTTAGTTTCCTTTCATCTGAGAATGTTGTGATTCCCATTCATTCCTGAAGTATATTTCTCTAGACATAGGATTCTGGGTTCACAGTTGTTTTCTTTCAGCACTTGAAAAATGTTCTGGCCTTGATAGCTTCTGGAGGAATCTACTCCCATTCAAATTGTTTTTCCCCTCTAAGTGAACATGTTATTTCTCTCTTATTGCTTTCAGGATTTTTCTGTTTTTAATTTTCAGAAGTTTAATTATTATGTGGTTTGGTGTGTATTTCTTTGGCTTTTTCCTGTTTGGGGATTTGCTCATATTCCTGAATCTATAGCTTTATGTCTTTCACCAAACAAGTGAAGTTTCCAGCCATTATTTACTTCATTACTTTTTCAGTCTCTCCCCCTTTTTCTTTTCTCTCTAGGATTGTGATAACATAAATGTCAGATCTTTTGTTATAGTTTCCTAGATCCCCAAGGCTCTGTTAATATCTTTTCAGTCTGTTTTCTCTTTGTTATTCAGCCTATTTTCTCTTTGTTGTTCAGATTGAGTAAATTCTAATTGTTCTATTTCCAAGTTCACTGATTCTTTCCAGTATCCTCCATTCTACTTTTGAGCCCAACCACTAAGCTTTTTATTTCAGTTATTGTATTTTTCAAGTCTAAAATTTTCATGTTTCTTCTCAGTCTCATCTTTTTTTTTTTTTACTGAGACTTTCTATTTCCTTTCTGAATGTTTTTTTTGTTTTTATAATTTGTTTCAAGCATGTTCACAATTGCTCACTGAAGCATTTTTTATGCTAGCAGGTTTTAAAATCTTTGTCAGATAATTCTAACATCTCTGTCATCTCAGCCTTGGCATCTATTGATTGATTTTTATATTTAATTAGAGATTTTGCTTGTTCTTGTTATGATTAGTGATTTTTAGTTGAAATCTGAATATTTGAGATATTATGCTGTGAGGTCTTATTTAAGTATTCTGTTTTAGCTGACGCTCCATTAGACTTCCCCTGATACTATCCCCCAGGGTACAGAGGAGCACTGGCTCATTACTACTAGAAAGAGACTAAGCCCAGGATCCTCAGGTGGTCTCGATTGACAGCATAAAGGGAAAGTCCTATATCACTCCATTAAGATAAAAGCCCCCTGTTTTACATACTCAGCCCTCTTTGACACCACCCTGGCAGAGGTATTGGAGTGCCTTGTAATATCCTATCTAAGGTAGAAATCTAGGGCTCCCGGTAGACCTTTACTGGTGGAGGTAGGGATGGGACCACAGTTTTTCCTGTGGTGTTTAGCTGGCATAAAGTAATTATTTGTCTAAAATTGTTCTGTTTTACTAGGCTATCCCTTTCCTGATTCTTTGGCTATGAATAGCAGCCTTTTCTTGGGACTTTTTTTTCCTTCTTTACCTGTTGATGTTTCTAGATTACCACCTTTTTCATCTCAAGCCTAGTATAAATGAAGCAAAAAGAAAATTCAGGGAACTAACTAACCACCATTTCATGCCTGAGTCTCAAAGTTAATAGCTGGTGTGCTTCCTTCTTTCCACCTTTCATAGTCTTCTTATGTTGGTAATGCCCAGGGTTTCTAGTTGTACTTAGCAGGAAGCATAAGGAAAAATGCTTCTACTCCATCTTTCCCAGAAGTGCAAGTCTCACAACTAACTTTCAAGAAACTACCACTTGTTAAGTTAAAACACTTAATACACACTAAAGTGTATTATCAAAGGAGAATATCCATAATTATGTTTTAAAGTTCTATTAAAATAATTTAACTTTTCTAACTATAAATCTTTGTGAAGCCAGAATTTTTCTCATATATTTCAACCAAAACAAACTACCAAAAAATTGAATGCAGAAGCAGATATGAGAATCCCTCTGTCATCTATTAAACCAGACATTAAAGAGATTAGGGGGAAAAAATCCTAGTTTTCTCACTAAATATTTTGTTTTCAAAAATATAATTATTTTTCATAAAAATACATTATTTATATGAATATATAGGACTTTATTACTGCTATTTTAATAAATAAATTATTAGTATGCTCTCAGTTTTCATTTCTAACATGGTAAATGCCAATAGATAAAATTCACATAAATGACTATTGAAGTCTTTGATAATTTTCAACAGTGAAAAAAGTGCTCTAAAATCAAAAAGTTTGACAACTATGAGGTGCAGAAAATTAATATTAAAGAAAGTTCTTACTTCCTCTCCCCAAACTTGCAAGTGTGGTGGTCTGCGAGCATGCTTTCCAGTTCTTTGTACCAATTCAGGTGGTATTCCTGGTAGTATTGGAGGAACATGAACATATTCTTGCTTGTTAGCCACAACAGGAATTCCATGCAGTATTCTACAATGTAATAAAAATTATTAAGTTTGTTTTTCAAGTCATTGATAAAGCAAAAGATGTTTGCTCTCATTGCATATCTCTGCTGAAATAAATACATTAATATTTCATATCTGCACTAAACAGAGATTGTGTAGTAATCAAATAATAATAAAAAATTAGAAATAATTCACAAATAACTCATGTTTGGTTATGTACACATTTTAGTAGTAACCCTTATCAATATTGGAATAATAGATTCAAACTATGAAAGCCTAATTACAAAAGAGGTTAGTTATTTGAAAAGATAAATGAAATTGATAAACTCTTGCTAGAAGAGAAAAGACCCAAATAACCTCAACCAGAAATGAAAAAGGAGATATTACAATTGACCCACAGAAATACAAAATATCATCTGTGAATACTATAAAAATTTCTATACCTATAAACTCAAAAAATGTAGAGAAAACGGACAAATTCCTGGAAATACACAGCCTCCCAAGACTCAATTAGGAAGAAATATAACTTCTTAATAGACCAATAATGAGCAACAAGAAGTAGTAATAAAAATGTTTCCAACAACAAAAAAAATCCCTGGACCAGATAGATTCACATCTGAATTTTACCAGACCTACAAAGAGGAGCTGGTAGCCATACTGCAGAAACTATTCAATAACATCAAGAAGGAAGGAATCCTCCCTAACTCATTCTATAAAGCCAGTGTCACCTTGATAGCAAAGCCAGGAGAGGACACAATAAAAAAAAGAAAACTATAAACCAATATGCTTTATGAATATAGATGTAAAAATCCTCAGTAAAATACTAGCAAACTAAATTCAACAGCACATCAAAAAAATAATCCACCATGACCATTTGGGCTTCATCCCAAGAATGCAAGGATACTTCAAAATATGTAAATCAATAAATGTGATTTACCACATAAACAGAAACATAAACTAAGACCATATGATCATCTCAACAGATGCAGAAAAAGCATTTGACAAAATCTAGCACCCTGTCATGAAAAAACCCTCAACAAACTAGACACAGAAGGAACGTACCTCAAAATAACCAAAGCCATACATGACAAACTCATAGTCAACACCATACTGCCTGAAGAAAAGTTGAAAGCATTCCCCCTAAAAATTTGAACAAGACAAGGGTGCCTACTGTCACCACTTCTATTCAACATAGTACTGAAAGTCCTAGCCAGAGCAATATCAGGTAAGAGAAGGAAATAAACAGAATCCAAATTGGGAAAGAGAGGTCAAACTAATCATATTTACTGATGATATGATCCTGTATCTAGAAAACCTAAAGACTCCACGAAAAGACTCATGTAATTGAGAGAAATTCAGCAAAGTCTCAGGTTACAAAATCAATGTACACAAATCAGTAGCATTTCTAGATACTAATAACAGCAAGCAGAGAGTTAAATCAAAGACTCAATTCCATTCACAATAGCTACAAAGAAAATAAAATATCTAGAATACACTTAACAAAGGAGATTTAAGACCTCTATATGGAGATCTACAAACATTGATGAAAGACATCACAGATGATACAAACAAATGGAAAAACATCCACTGCTCATGGATTGGTAGAATCAACATCATTATAATGTCTATACTGCCCAAAGCAATTTATAGATTTATAGCAATTTATAGATTCAAAGCAATGGGAATTGATGCTGGGAAAATGGTGCTGGGAAAATTGGACAGCCCCAAGCAGAAGAATCAAACAGGACCCCTATCTTACTGTATACAAAAATTAATTCAAGATGGATTAAGGACTTAAATGAAAGGCATGAAACCAAGGTAGTATTTCACATATCTAGAAAAAGTAATTCTACACTTCATTTGGAACCAAAAAACAGCCAGAATAGCCAAATCATTCTTAAGCAAAAGACCAAATCTGGAGACATCACATTACCAGACTTCAAATTATACTACAAGGCTATAGTAACCCAAACAGTATGGTACTGGTATAAAAGTAGAGACATAGACTAATGGAACAGAATAGAGAACCCAGAAATAAAACCATTTACCTACAACAAACTGATGTTGACAAAGCAGACAACAACATACACTTAGGAAAAGAAGTCCTATTAAATAAATGATGCTGGGAAAATTGGACAGCCCCAAGCAGAAGAATGAAACAGGACCCCTATCTTACTGTATACAAAAATTAATTCAAGATGGATTAAAGACTTAAATGAAAGGCATGAAACCATAAGAATTTTGGAAGAAAATGTAGGAAAAACTCTTCTAGATATCAGCCTAGGCAAAGAATTTTATGACTAAAATCTCAAAGGCAAATATAGCAACAACAAAAATAAATAAATGGGACTTTCTTAAATTAAAAAGCTTTTGTGCAGCAAAGGAAATAATCAATAGAGTTAATAGACAACCTACAGAGTGGGAGAAAATATTCACAAACTATACATCCAACAAACTACTGATATCTAGAATCTACAAAGAACTCAAAGAAATCAACAAGAAACAAACAAACCCATCAAAAAGTTGTCAAAAAATATGAACAGAACCTTTTTAGAAGAGGTAGACAAATGAACAACAAACATGAAAGAATGCTCAGCATCACTAATCATCAGGGAAATGAAAATTAAAGCAACAATGAAATACCACCTTACCCCTATCAGAATGGCCATTATTAAAAAGTCCAAAAACAATAGATGCTGGTAAGGATGCAGAGAGAAAGGAACACTTATACACTGTTGGTGGGACTGCAAATTAGTACAACCTCTATAGAAAACAGTATGGAGATTCCTCAAATAAAGAAATGTAGACCTACCATTTAATCCAGTAATCCCACTGCTGGGTATCTTCCCCAAGGAAATGAAGTAATTTAAAATCAAAAAGATACTACACTCAAATCTTTATCACAGCACAAATCACAATTGCAAAGATATGGAATCAACCAACATGCCTTTCAATTCATGAGTGGAAAAAGAAAATGTGATATATATATATATATAGATAGATAGATAGATATCTCCATCCCATGGAGTACTCCTCAGCCATAAAAAGGAATGAAATAATGTCATTTTCAGCAATGGGGATGGAAATAGAGACAATTATCCTATGTAATGTATCTCAGGAATGCAAAACCAAACAGCAATGTTCTCACTAATAAGTGGAAGCTAATAGATGAGTATACATGGGCGCAGAGTGATATAAAGAACACAAGAAACCAAGAAGGTGGGGAGGGTGCATGTGGGATTAAAAACTTTGGGGTACAATGAACACTATTCTGATGATGGGCAAACTAAAAGCCCTGACTTAAGCATTATACAAGATATCCATGTCATAAAAACACTTGTACCTCTTAAAAATAAATAAATAAATAAACAAGAAAATGACTAATGATGAGGGCAAGGCCTTTAGATTTCAAGTCCTCCACGAGACCTTTACAAATCCCGTTCTACCTAGCCAAAATTTATCTTTGCCTCCCTAGTTTTCCTGCTGCATTTGATTTGCTCTTTCATTATAGAATATATCTCATTCTATTCAGTATATCTTTTTCACAGTAGATCATAGGCTGATTTGGGGAGAAAAGTAACGCTCATTCATTTTCTTTCTCCGAAGGACTTCAATGTATTATAATCGATACTGAATAAATATTGTTGAATTTTGGCTGAGCAAGAAAAATCTCACAGCCAAAGTCAGCCTCAGACCCTGTCCTGAGGAACTGAGAATCACAGGTCAGCACGAGATACCGCAGTGGTTCTCAAAGTGTGTTCCCTAGGCAGCAGCATTAGCATCACATAAGAAACTGTTAGGAACAAAAATTATTCAGCCCCATCACAGACCTAATGAATGAGAAACTCAGAAGATGGGGCCCAGTCATCTGTGTTTTAAACAGCTCTGAAGGTTAAAGATGATTCTGATTCAGTCTGAAAATCAGTAACAACTGATGTACCACAATCTTTCCTGAAACAGCCTGATCATAAGAATATCCCAAGACGCTTTTCAGATTGCCTTCCCACACCCTACCTTTAGAGGTTCTAACTCAATAGGTTTGGAATACAGCCCAGGAATTGATATACTTGTTAAATATCCCACATGGCCCTTATCCTCAGGGAAGCCTGGCCCTATCCTCAGGGAAGCCTAAAAATCGTTGAACTAGTGGGAAGAGCAAGTCTTTGGATTGATGCTGAAAACCAGGATTTTGGTCCCTTGCTATGCTTTGCTGGGTAGGTCGCTTTTCCTTTCTAAGTCTCAGATAGTTTTCTCATCTATGAATGGCAACAGTGATGGAGTCTTTCGAGTCTAATGCTTAGAAGTAATACATGTGAAGAACTTTACACACAGTACATGCTAAGTAAGTGATTGATATTACAATCATTATTGTTCCTGTCATTGACGATGTAAATGGAGGGAATGAGCCCATCTCTCTCAGAGTGAAAGTTAAACTTCCTTCCGATTCAATATCAGCCTTCCATGGGGCCAGAGATATAAAATGTATTTCTTATTGTAGGTTGCTGTTAAAGAAGTTTGGAAAATTTTTGCTCTAAGCTGTGAGTACTCTTAAAATATTTCTGCACATATGTTCCATGAGCTACATAAAAGCGACTGTGAGCTACATCCTGTGAAGCTTGGGCAGGGTTCTCTCTCCAGCAACCTGCTCCCACCTTGGTATGACCCTAACAGACAATTTCCCCCATCACAGCTTTACTACAATATCTCTTCCTTAGCAAATTTATCTTGCTCCTTGGTGTACAAAAGCCTGAAAGAGGCTTTACAGGATGGAGCTCATAGTCACTTTTAAGTAACTCAGGGAAAATGTGTACAGGGAAATATTTAGAGTGGTCTCATACAAAAATTTCACCAAAGTAATTCTTACATGTGATGGTGTGTCCTATGCTAGATACCATTTTTTAAAGTGCTTGTAGCAAACTACAGAACTGATTTCACAACCCAATCCACTGAGTCACAACTTGGGAAATGTTAACTTTCAAATAATGTTGTTTAAAAAGCAGACTCCTGGGTCTGGAACTTTAGGAG